CAAGGTGCTATAAAGCGTTTTTGTTACCACGTGGCAGAATATAATTGGAGGGTAAGATCGTCTCTCACCACGTGACAGGATACACCGTAGCATCATAGATATTTTCCTTTATAAAATATCATTCTATATTTTCACATGTTTTTATAACATTCTATTATATCTATAATAATATTTATAATATTTCCATATTTAGATGACCCACATTTCCACCGGTACCAATAATTTAAACCTTATTATTCTAAACTCAAATACAAATAGAATGATTAGCGATTATGCAAATGAATTTTGAAAAACTGCTCCATAATAAATTCAATAACAGATAAGATTCAACCTAATGAGCGTAGTATGTGCTCCGTGCCTCCATCTACAATATTGACCGTAGCCCTAGGCCACCCTAGTTTCATTATTCCCATTGTCCACCTATTGCAGAATTGCACCAACTTTCCACTTCAACCCCAGACCTTGACCACTAGTTTCATCATTCCCATCATATCTATTTCCCATTACTCCCAGGATAAAAGAGAGAAGGACAAATCTTCAGAAAATTTTCATTTCTTAAAGTTAAATAATTATTTCAGAACCACTTTAGGGATATAAAGATTTTAAATCTATTGAAAATTAAGAGAGTTAAAAATCAACTTGTAATTCTGTTGATTAAGACAAATGCCTGTACCGAGCAGAATTTTTCCTCTACCCATCTCCCCAAATGGTCCTTTTCCCTTTCGAGTGTAATAATAATAATAATAATAATAATAATAATAATAGTAATAGTAATATGACTTTATGTCTAAACTATCTCATAAAAAAATTAATCCATTTATTTTCTCTCTCTCTTCATTTGTGGTATATCTCTTTTGCACGTGAAATTGTACATTTCACTCAATAAGTAATGATCAAGATTTTTAAAACCGGATAGGACAGGGAATTGTTTTGGGTCCAATTCCCAGGTTGAACGGTCTTACTGTTTAGTCTGAACAGATGGCCCATTCTGACAAAAAAAATAATAATAATAAAATAAAATAAATGACAAAAAATCATTGTTTGGGTCAATGGTTCGACAGTACGATCACCTGGATCAGCTGTTCGCTGACCAAATTAACAGTTTTTTTGGCCAAAAGACAGTTTTGAGGTGAAATGTCTTCCGATCCGGTTTTAAAAACACTGGTAATAATAACCAGTTTTCTGATAAATTAAGTTATTTAAACTTTTCATGTTCTTCTTCTCTCTTCTTCTTTACCCTACAGTTGAGATGGTTATCATTTAGACCGACGATCTAGTTGTTTGGAAGGCCATTTGGCATCCCTTGAAAAGAGGCATGGCATCAATCCTGTATAACAAGTGGCAAGGTCAGCAGACCTCAGGTGCACCCTGTTCTCTTCTCTTGTTCTCTGTTTCCACCCATGAGAGAGATGGTCACAGCATTTAGATTTGTTTATGGGCCGGGTTTAGACTTAGCTTTTGCTAAAAGCCCAAGACCAATAGTATAAAGTTAGACCCCAAGCCCGATCCATGAACAAGTCTAATCAACATCATTCAAATGATGAAATCCATAAAACTGCAGGTTATCTGGGGGATGGTTAGTGGGCCTTACGTGCATCMTACCCTATCCTCAACTGGTGAATTAATTGACCTCAATTAGGTTAATTAGCTGGATGTGTCCATCTTTTTCTGCTAAAAGTGTCGAGTGGAGAATTCTTGTGGTCGATCAGAATTGTCCATATTCTAGAGCGAGGGAACCTTCTGTGTTGGCCATGCCTATTAATAGTATTCACCGTGAAGATCAATTGTTGCCAAATGCATCTCCTAGTGTCCTACCAATTGTTGCCAAGCCTGATTTTTCCATCATAGACAAGGGCAAAGGACACATGCATGCTCACGTTGATGTCTGAGAGTGATAATTAGTCATTACTCTTTGTTTCTAATACAGGGAAATAGGGAATTCGCCAGATCAGGTCCCTCCAGGTTTGGCGGATAGATGTTTGAAGGAATGCCTCAAAGTTCAAAGTTCAAGTACGGCCGACGACCCTTCTTTCTCCACTGGAAGATGCTGTCATGTGGAGCCATGTATGATAAATGATGGATTGGACTAAAGTTACATAAAATATTCTGGATTCCTTCACTTTTTCTAATTCCATTTGGAAGCTGGTTACAGCTGAAATCATAATTGCTATCTACCAAACCAGTAGGGAGACAGATAGGAATGCACTTGATGGAAATGAATTTTTGCACATGTTCACGGTGGTTTAATTTCTAAACTAGAATCAATGCACCCACAAATCCTCATCCTTAAAATTTCTACCATCCATGAATCTCCTTCATTCCTCATCTCTCTGTGTAGGCAGAAGATTAGACCTGCAGAAGGGGCATGTACCTTACCCCTGATCCACCCATTTATCCAGGCACTCTCTCTGAAATACATGTTCTCTCATCTCATGGCTTTTCTTCAAACAAAAAGCATACAGCACAGACCAAGTTTTCATCTTTGTATGATCCTGATCAACAAAATTACCAAATTCTAGCACTGGATGACTTTTCTTGATTGATTTCAGTGCAAAAGGATTGTTTCATCTTGTTAACAACAGCCATGGCTGATGATGGAAATGAGACATCCTCCACCCAAATTGAATATTCTTGATCAGGTGGATCAAATATACCAAAATGGGCTAGTAAGTGTTTGATGAGTTTTAGCAACTCATTCACAAGGGAAACCCATGAGTTGGAAAGTAGGGCTTAATGCTAAATGGGTAGAAGGGAAGCACTAATGAGCATTTGACATGTGCAATCGCGCAGTTTAGACTTTAAAGGGGCAATATTCATGGATTGAAGTTGTCTCAGTTTTCAAGTTTTGAATTTCTGAGAAGGGTATTAACCTTTGAATATTGGCCATTTGTCATAAATCCTTATATTTAGTGTATCGAGAACCCTCAAAACTCATTATATTGTACAGTATATATCATTACTTTGAATTGAACCTACTAAGTGGTGTTAGGGGGATTTATAGGCCTAGATGGTTCAGTGGAGAGGGTTTGGCAAGAAAAATATGATTTGCAGGTACAAATATTTCAAATCTCATGGATTTAATTAAATACCAATTTAATATGATATACCTAAAAGAGTGTTGATAATTTGATTAATATAATCAAAACTTGAACGCTCTAATGTCACTTACTTTTCCACAATAATTTGCTTATTTTAGTAGGAATAATATTTAACTTTCCCTTACTTTCAAGAACACCAATCATAATCCCAGTTTGTGCTACCATAATATTGAAAACCTTATGCTTAAATGGCACTTCAAACAATGTTGTCAGGCTTGGACCGGACCAAAACCCAAAGAGTTCATTGGGTCACTGCTTTAATGGTTCAACTGTTGGGTAGATCATTCTGCCAGTAAATAACAACCATAAAAAAAAAGGAGACCCAAATAGGGTCACTGAGTCGCTAGTTCACCAGTTCAACCAACGGCATGCACTTACTTTGAAATCTTAGATATCTCATTCTCATTGTTTAGTGGATGCAGCTTAATTTCTGAGAGATGGCCCATGAAAAGAAAAGGAATATGTGCTCTACCCCGTAAGTGAGGTAAGAGGAGCTTAGTCCAATTGGCTAAGCATTAGAGTCCTGGAGTCTGAAAAATTATTATTTTTTCAAAAGAAAACAAAATTTTTATTGATAATCACTGGACGGTGGACATGAGCTGAACCCCTTGGAAAAATAAACTACATTGATTATACCGAGGGTGGAAACTTTTGTTTGGTCCAGAAAATCTATAACTACATTAACTTTCTGCCAGCAGAATATAAAAGACTAAAATAGCAGAGATTTACAAGGTCAATTCATATTAAGTAGTGGAAGAGAAGTGGTTAGCCCACCTGTGATTTAGAGCCTAACTAATTCAGCAACTTGGCCTTGATGCAGACCATCTTGTGATTAAACAAATGGACCATAATTAATGAATCTTTATTGGCTCTTATGTGGCGATTGGTGAAGCAAGATTAGCATGTGGGTCCCAAGAATATTACTCCAATTGTCAATAAATGACCCACTAAGTATGAAGTGAAGTCCCTAGAGCCTAGAGGGATGTCTGGTTTAATTAGTCAATGGTAAAGTGGGTGGTGGGTTTCTCAGGGTGTTGGTTGGAGGTTCAGAGAAAGGTTGGTAAGACATTTTGCAAATCAGTTCAATGTGTCATTTACTATTTGAAGGATTAGAATATTAAGCAAATGTTCAAAATAGTATCTATCTGAAGGTGGGATGACATTTCCTCTTCTATTCTTAGATTGGAAGCCCTGTTGATAAAACTCAGTAACTCAGCCTGAGTTCGAAGCTGCCAGCAGTAAAAGAAACTAGAAGAGACCCTGTTTGAAGCCTCTCATAATCCTGTCCTAGTGACATTTAAAGGCCCATCTGATTTAGACCAATGTTTTCAAACTTGGACCGGGCGCAAACCATTTTGGTCACTGGGTCACAGACTGAATGGTTGAAGCATCCGGTTCGATCATTTGAGCTGCTCCAATAAAAAAAATACGAAAAACAAATAAAAATTTGAAGAAAAATCAACTAGTTTTGGATTATTTTTGAAGACTTTTATCAAAATAAGCTTAAAATTCTGACAGCTCAACCATCCAGTCCAGTCTGAGTCTGATAAAACTGGTTTATACGACAACATTTACAAAGCAGTTGGTTCACTCCTTTCATTCCAGCCCAAGATTTGATGCTCTCACTCTATGCTCAATTTCAAATCTAATTTTTATCTCCTTAATATTGAGTCAGTGCAAATAAGTCAACTATTTGGTGCATTTGCATTGAGAGATATTTTCAAGGACCCACAAACCGGGTCTTTGGGAGGAGAATACTTTAATTAAACCCTTTAAGCTTCACATCAAATTCCGAGCCAGAAAGCAAAAAAAAAAAAAGAAATGTTAAATATTGCTTAACCAGACAAGTCCGTTTAGTTTGGCTTGGGATATTGCCAGCAAAAATCTATTATTATTCTCTTCAGTTAGGTGAACTGATTACAAATTCAAAGGCTCTACAGCCTACAGCCTACAGCCTACATCCTACAGGGGCTTAAATGTATCAATCTGGATCTCAATTCTCAAATGACCCATATGTTAATCAATCAGGATCTTATATGGCCCATATATTCATCAATCAGGATCTTACATGGCCCATATATTTCATCAATCAGGATCATACACGGCCCATATTGGAATCAATCTAGATCTTCTGATGAAACCAAACCTGATTGATTCAAATATTTGGAACTAGTAATCAAATCAAATGACTCATTAGAAGCTAAAAGATACTGAAAAGCAATAACTTAAGAATATAATAATATTTACAGAGGCATTATAGAGCTTTCCCTTGTCATTGATTAGGCCTTAATTAATCATGTTAACAGTGATCTCTCTGTAATTCAGGGCTGGAACAGAACTGGCTCATATCGAACCAGACCTGCCGGAACACCTTGACAATGAGATCATGGTATTCATCAGAATTCAGAGACAGGTAGCAGGCCAAGAGGTTCTCAAGCTCTTCCGGCTGCCGCATATGGTTCTGCACGATCATCTCCACCATTGACTCTCTGAAGTCCTTCTGAGGATCCAAGGAACATTTCGCAACTGCAAAGCTCTCTAAACCTGTTCTTCCCTCCACTTTTCTTTCCTTGGCAATTGCCTTTGCTCTCTTCTTGGCCTTCATTTCTTCAAGAGCTCTTATTCTGCAAGTTTCAACCTTTGAAGGTGTTCTAGGAGAACAAACTCTGACTTTGCACCTCTGTCTCGTTCTTCTTCTCTGTGATTCTCTGCTTATGTAAAGAGATCTTCTCTGCTTCTCGCTTTTGGATAATAACTCCTTAATTTTTAACTCTTTGGCTGTTTTCCACTCCAAATCCGAGTCTTCGGCGAGACTCTGATCTATTCTTTCTGAATTAACAGATGAATGTGCAGAATTCTCTTCTTCTGTGCTTGGATCAGTGTTCCTTGCATTTGAGGAAGAAATGTAGTGAGACTTCCTGGATCCCTTAACCGGAAAACTCTGAAACTCATCTTCGGTTGTTCGAATTGTTCTTACTGGTTCCAAATCCAACGTGCTCTGTATACTCAAACACCTCTGCTTATCTTCCAGTGATTCTATGGAAAGAACTGGAGGCTGCTCTTCGGCCAAAATTCTTGGGCTTGCTTTTCTCAATCTTCCATCTCTAACTGGCTTATCTTTGGAGACAATCTTCTCTGGTTTTTCGACTTTGGTCTCAACTCGACAATCCTGTCTTTCCGGCACGATCTTCATTTCTGCAGGCGACTCTCTCATCTTTCGACCATTCGAGTCCTTGTCGGTGAACTTCTGGGGTTCTTCTTTCGCCATTGGAGTAGTTGTTGATTTACAACCAGGCCTACTAGAGACTGGATATTCAAGTTCCTCATCAGAATCATAGAGAACAGGTTTCAGAAGACCAGTATTCTTCTTACCTTCAAAGGAGCTCTCTTTTCTGAACGAAAGTCTCCAGAAAGCATCGTCACCTTCCATCTCGCTTAGCATTCTTGACCTCCTGCTCATCCTCCCTTCATGGATCTCCAGTGGTGACAAGGAGGAAGTCCTGTTGTGGAATTGAGTAGGCCTAGAATTAACAGACAGCGAGGAACTCACAGGCGATGAATTGGGTTTGTTTTTGAGCTTGGTTTTATCAGGTTGAGGTTCTGCTTGGCCACTCATTTGCTTGAACTTTGAAAGCCAAGATATGGGGAAGACCTGTGACAGAGATGAAAGGCGAGAGGATGAGGAGGAAGATGACGAAGAAGAGGCTGATGGGTTGGATTTCTTTCTTCCCCATTTCATCTTTTTGCAGAGAAAAGATCAAATTTCTCTGTCGTTTGATTTCTGGGGCAGAGGAAAGAGAGAAAAGGAAGAGAAGGAAGCAGAGAGAGTCTGGGCTGAAAGGGAGGGTTTGAAATTAAAGTGAAGGATGAAGCGTAGCGGTTAGGGGACGGTTGGTTAGGCACTTGGGGAGATGTTGGGTACGTGGGTTCCTCACTTTTCTCTACTGGCTTGCCATTCAAAAGAGAAGCCCGCCTTAATTCCTGTGACCCAATTTACTCACTTTTTACTACTTTATAGAATCAGATGGGCCCCTTCTGCCTCCTTTTGCTTTTACTTTATTGATTTGCTTGTTTTTTTTTTTTTCTCTAGAATGTGAGTTCTCTCTCCTTTTCCATTTCTATTGTTTGTGAAAGTCAAAAGACATTTTTTTTTTTTAGTTAAAGAGTTCTACTTATTTGTTTATTTTAAATGGGCAATCTCTGATGTGTCAAATTAGTAGAAACAATGTTTGTGTACATCCCTACTGTTTGGTCATCAGGAAGGCATACTGTACAGTCAGATCGATATGTTGTAGGCCACAGTGTTAAGGGCCATAACCAATGTTGGCTGTGGCTATCTGGGGTCTTTCATGGGGTGGACTGGATGGGGACTTAACCTTCTTAGTCATTTAGTGCCTAACAAATAGTAGAAGTGTCACTGTGAAGGTGTAAGAACCTGTTTGTAAGCAAATTGCTGAAAGGCTAATTGTTGGAGGTCCAGTAGAGCAAAATTCTAAGAGAGGGTAATCAAGCAATTTTGGTCATAGAAGCAGCATTGAGCCTCTTAATTTAGCGCCGTGGATGCTAGTTATGTTTATATCTTGTGACTTTTTGGGTAGATTTTACCTGTCCACGCCTTATTTAGTGCCCGTTTGGGGAGGGCAGAGGGCTCTCATGCAGTAGATTCTGGTATTGCAAAATGCAAGATAGGCCCCACATGAAAAGTAATAAAGCCATGTTTGGTGAAAAACCCAGAATGCCAAAAATAATAATAATAATAATAGGTTTGGTAGCTTCTTCCAAGTGGCTCAGTCAATATATAGCTCAATCAGTGCTGAAGCCCTCCAAATCCAAATGGGTTCTTGTTTATCAGTTTCCTCTTCTATGAAAAAAATCTTGGACTCTCATATTTGCCAATCTACATTCATGAATCATGAGGGTACCGAAGAAATTGAAACCTTGTAAGTTGTAACCCCTAAAGGAGGTATTTGATTCAACATCCCTCCCAAAGCAGAAGCACAGGATCAATCCTGTCAGGGGTGCAAACCAGGTAACCGAACTGAAGATTTTACACTGCATTAGGCCTGGGCTTCCGTCTACAAAATTCCAACCCAACCCTGCCCATATTTCATCCCTAATCTTGTGGAACTGTATGCTGTCTCATCTGTCTGTGGTATGACTAATGAGCCTGATGTGCAGCCTGCACTGTCTCCTTCGTAAGGCTGTGTTTGGTTGCAGTGCAATTTTATTTGCACTAATACAAATGCATGGGAGTATAAATGAAAAGAATGCAAAATTTGGCTTAATTTTATTTTGGATTTTACTTTATTCTGTTTTGGGTTTTATTTTATTTCATTTTTACTGTAATCAAACAAAAAAAGGTCAATTTTAAAATAAAAATAAATCATAATTTACACCAAAATCATTTACATTACCATGATTTTGCATCAATATAAAAAAAGTTATATTACAACCAAACACAGTCTAAGGCTCAATTTAGAAGAAGTATAAATACAAATATATAAAGTGCAAAACCTTACATTCTGTATGTATTTGTATTTATACTCCTTTGAAAGTGAGCCTAAGGTCTCTAGTAACAAGCTTAATTTGGTGGTTCAAATAGGCTGCAGGGCCTATTAGCGTAGGAAGAGAGGCAAATAGTTGGGTAGGGTTGATGGTTGAATCCCAAAATGGGGTTGGACAGTTGTAATTGTCAAGAAGACAAAGCCTGCACTGTGCCATGGTCAATCATATCTCTTCTTTAACACATTAACAACAACAATTCAAGTGTGTGTGTGGGGCCAGAAGGGGGAGAGGGTGGTCGGGGCTGGGCCTGTTGCCTGTTGGGACAAAAAGACAACGTCAAGAGGAGGTCATCTTCGAAGTTGGTRMAATTGCCCACCATGGAAATTGGCTTGTCATTTCTTCATGGTTTGGTATGCTCTTGAAAAAGGTTCCGATCAGGGTTGTCAGAGTTGGACCTGATATAAATCCATTCTGGCCACTGGGCCATTGAGCCCAATGGTTTAATTGTTTGGTTCAGCTGTTCAAGATTCTGCACTGTCTGGTAATGGTGACAGCATATGTGAGGATTGGAAGATGTTCCTAATGCACAGTTGGGATGTGCTATGAGACGCTTGTGGGATGCCCTCTGTGGGGCGCATATATGAATTCATATGTGAATACTTTCCACTTTTATGTATTTAAATTAACTTTGATTAAAGTGATGTTCGGTAGCACAGAAATTTTGGGATCACTTGGTTCTAGAACACACCACACTGATTGAATGTTCGGTTTTATGCATGCGACGGCGACAGGTTTCAAGACCATTCACAGATGGTTTCTAGGCTGCACCTTGTAAGAGTGCAAATGCAGAACCAAAGTGAATTTACGCTTCATTGCACAGTTTTCATGTCTTTGATGAGTAAACTTGTTTCTTTTTCTTCAACTATATAATTTTGCATTTAAAATGGGAGCAAACTTTACACTCAAAATTGGTTTATATAACTTGTAAAATAAGTTGATTCCACCCTTTGGGTTCATATTTGCATCTATCACAACCAAACAAAAAAACTGCAAATTAATTTCTCGGTACAAAATCAAACCAGGTTTGCATCCTTCTATTTGAACAAATTTGCATTCACTTTTTACAGCCTAATATATAAATTACCAATCATTCCATGAAAAATAACATATGAACATAAATGAATATTTATAAAAGACTAATCCTGATCCGAATGGTCCGACCACCTGGGCCGAATCCAGATCGGACAACAGTGGTTTCGACTTTCAACTTTCAAGGGTTTAAGATGGGGCAGGGTAGCCCTGTGTCCATCCAAGATCCAACTCTCTAGGACAGACAAAGCTCAAAACCACAAATGGACAACAATAGTGAGGGACAGTGTAAACTGTACTAGTACTACCTTAAATTAAACATTAGGTACGTTACATGGGAGTGTAGCAAGGAAAGATGTAGACTGGATGGAGCTGAGAGTCTGAGACCAGGAACCTTATCCCAAAGCCCATAAAATCATCACCTCATCATGTAGAAAAACTAGCAAAATACTAGCAGGAACATCAAACAGACAAATTGGGTATCTTCTTTGCTCCTTTTGATGAGCTCTGTGATTTTTGTCCCTTCTGATCATACACCTGAAAAGACAACCAGACAGAGTCTGATTGTGAGCCATCAGACCTCCCCTTCACGAGATGGAGGTAAAACTCAAACTTTGGCCAATTTGAGATCCAACCCATTCTCAGACCCAGCAGATTAAACTCTTCTTCTGGAGAAGAACCTGAGTTGATTGGGGACTTACGGTATTCTCTGGGAGTCTCGAAATAAATAAATGCTCTGAAGCTGGAGTACTGGATTAGATGGATGAACTGTTTGGTTTTCCTTTTTGTTATAGGTTGAATGGTTCTTTTGAGAGTTTTAGACCATCAAATTAAGCCTAGCCTAATGATTATGGGCCTTACCAACAAATCCTACTAGCATTTCTGAAGTAGTTAACCAAATGCCTCACTGTTGGCTGCCTTCATCTAGCCCATAAAGTGTTAATCCTGGCTGAAATACTTATTGAGTTTGAACTTTGAATTATGTTCTTATTCTTCCCAATTAGCTTTTTTAAAATAATCTATAGATTATTGTTGAGCCGTCTATGATTTCTATATCATTCCTGTTAAGAGCTACTATGATCAGTTGGTTTAATTTAATATTTGAATCTGCTTTCTGAGAAATCTATATTTTCTCTTCTCCCTCTAAATCTCGTTGCTTTTAAAATTCAACCACTAAATTTTAGATTCAGTTGAATATAGAGCAAAATGGTCCAAGGCTGCTATTAAACTTAAATTAGCTACTAGAGTAGAATGAATAAAAAAATTCAAACATGAAAATGCGTACAAATTAGTAAAAAAGAAAGGTAAAAGGTTGAACTATTAGTCCTTGCGTGCAGTTGAATATTTGGCATTACAGACCATTCTGCCATTTCAGAAATTGAAATTGCTAAAATATTCAAAAACTTGATCGCCATTTGCCAAACCTGGTACTGGAATTGTTTTGAAATCCAAAGCATTCCAAAACCGAAATATTCCCTTATTTAGGAATCAGCCATTGATATGTATAGGTATTGAGGTCATCGAAACCACAACTACTGAGAGTCAAGGCATTTTATAATAATTTAAAATGTTAATGTCTATACTAACATAACATATCTATCAAACATCAAAACAAAAGAAATACTGCTTGTTGAAAACTCATACGCAATTTTCGATTGTTGTTCTGAAGTCTGAACTTCACTTTTTAGGACTCCGGATCATATGGGTTTTATGTGTAGAGAACATTGACGTATTCTTTCGTAATTAATTAGGTACCCTATTATACATGTCAATTGAACTCCGGATCATAAGAGAATTGGTTCATGTTAATTGTTAAACAACACAATGGTGTTTTCTCTCTGTGATTTCAATCCCACATAAATTAAGTATGAGCTATTGTTTTTTATTTTTTATTTTTTGATAAATGAATTAAGTATGAGCCCTTGGCGGGGGGGGGGTCAACGGAGCCGAGGGCTAGTGGGTCCACAGACTCGCGCTGCCCCTGCTGGCCCGATGCCTGGGTGGGGCGGCTTCTTGCCTGCCTCGATACGTCGAACGAGGTGGTCCAATCGGTGTAGGACCACTTGGAATTGCTTGTTGGTGACCAGGTTCTAGGCATTTCTGGTGTTTCATACCATGTTGAAAGAAGTCTTGATTGCAAGTTGGATTGAAGGAAGTCTTAGTGATGTTTCCATAGACAACACCAATTGTTGATGCTCGTATGGATTGAGGTCAACACTATCAATTATTCACCTCCTAGTCCAAGTAGACCCGAGGTACTGGAAGTCTGAGGACAAGAGTGGCCGAGGAGTGGAGTCCAAGATGAGGGAGATCCGTGGTCCATGGTCCGATATCCACTATGTCCGGTACCCGAGGTGGATGAGGATCCTAGTATCGGTTCTGCAGGGAGGGAGAATGTT